CTCTCTCTCTCTCTCTCTCTCTCTCTCTCTCTCTCTCTCTTTCTCTCCACCTTTTTTCAATTATATCCCTGCCATTTTTTCCTCTTTATTGTTTCATCACCTGGCTATCCTCCCCCCCCCCTCCGGCCACGAAAAAAGAAAATATCCGCGGACGTGAGAACGATCTCTCCCTCGCATCCTTTCGATGTGCTCACGCTCGAATCCCAAAGTCGCGCGCGATTTGATCGTTTCACCGTCGAATTCGTCATACATACGTATCTCTGGGTGTGTCCCCCCTCCGATCGCTGGATCATCAAAACGCCATCGTCGAAAAACTCGTTCGATCCCTTCTTTCGCCGCTCGCCGCAGAAGCGGAGCGAATCACTCGTGAACGATTCGAACGGACGCGCGAGACGTGTAGCAGCGTTTTCTTTTTTTTTTTCCTTTTTTTCTTTTTTTTTTATTATAAAAAAACGCTCTGGCACCGATTTGGATTTCGTCGTTTCTCAATGAACACATAGCGCACTTGCAACGAAGTGAACGGAGAGTTGCAGACTCGCTTGATCGTTGGTAGAAGAAAGTTCAACAACACGCGTGGCGCGCGCGCGCGCGTTCGTCGAAGGGGAGAGAGGCGGCGAAAGAAGGGCCGACGAAAAGAAAAGAAAAGGAAAAAATGAGAAAAGAAGGAATCGTCCGTCCTGCTGGAGGATATTCGAGCGCGTTACTTTCAAAAAACGTCAACACTCGGTCCGATTCTGTGCGAGGGGCCAGCAATCCCTGAACACTCCTGTTTTTCACCCATATTTTTTCTCTTTCTTTTTCTTTTTTTTTTTCTTTGTTACTTTGTGCGTTCCTCTGAACGTTCAATCACCACCGCGAACGACCAACGGTGCCCTATTTAGTTACAAGTAATATCTTTGGTATCGTGCCTGAGTCTTCCATTCGCGAGAAGGATCGTACCAAAAGGGCGTTTTAAGTAGAACCTTAATCTGATAAAAACGACGCGAATCTCTCTGTTTAGCGATCGGTATCAAACTTAGAAAAGAAAACCGTTCGCTCGCTTCTCCGTGTGCCTCGTGTGAAAACAAGCCGTTAAAAATACGCTACCTACACCGGAGGTACAATTAGGTATTTCTGCAACGACGAGTGTGTGTCTCGGGTCGATTAAATTACAATGGCAGCTTCGAAACGCGCGGCTGTCCGCGCTGGTGCGTCTACGCGCGCGCCTACGCACGCGCACGCGATCGTGTGTATTTTATAAGTATACGTGTGTGTGTTAGAATGTATCGTGTACGCAAATCGAGTCTCCTTTTCTTTTTTTTTTTTTTTTTTTTTTTTTTCTCGTCAATCTGTCGTTTCACGCGCAGGATGCTCCGCCGTCCCCTCTGTGCCTTCTTCTTCTCGGATAACGCGTGCAAACGACAGTCTTCTTCGCCAGGAACGTGAACGAACCGCACGCGTTCGTGTCGATTCCTTTCTTTT